TTTGGGCAGACTTTGGAATTCACACAGAAAGGCTTTGAGATTTCACAAAGCCTTAGAGGCTCAGTTATACACCCTGGTCTTAAGGCATAATCATATTTCTAAAAGGATTGGTAAGTCTTCTGATGGAAACAGTGAAAGCCCTCTGAAATGAACTTGTCCCTTTCTCAAAGTTGTCAGCTTTGGAATTTATGTAATGGATCTGTTTCTGTCTTGGAAGCAATTTTGCAGTTTATCTTTCAAAACTCAGGAAAATTAGAAACAAAGGAGAAGCACTCATTCAGAGAAATGATCAATGTGCCATAAATAATTTGGAAAGTTGGGTGAGATAACTGATAGATAGTTCTCTCAAAAATCTGAAATCTTGTCTTAATGCTATTATCAGTAATTGAATTTAGATGGCACTTAGATATATAGCAATGGCAGCAGTTCAAATTAAATAAAAGGCTATGTACGGTTACATGATTATTAATAACTATTTATTAAAAGTATTTGTGAGTCACTTTCTATTCTTTAAAATCCCAAAGTGATTTGCAGTACTTATAAGGACAGAAAATAAAAACAGGATTCAAAAAACAGTAAAAGGAACCCATAAAAAAATAGGTATTGAGAAAATTAATGCTCAGTAAGACCAGCATTAAAAAATTATATTTTTAAAAGGCATCTAAAATGTGACACTATTGGGGACACCTTTTAGGAAAAGTCATTCCACAGAGTAGTTGTCATCACAGGGAAAGTTCTTTCTTTGTAGCCACCAAATGGTAGTCTACAAACCACATCATGCAGGGGATGTCAACAAGCCATAAGATAGTTGAGGTAATGAGTGACCCTCCAGAGATTTCTGAACTTTAACTTCCAGCACCTTGCAGCGTTAGCCCTCCTGGTTGAGCCTACTTGAAGATATACATCAGCAGCATTTTGAAGCCAAACTGTATCTGCTCTAAAGTGACAAACAAAGTTGTTCCTTCATAATTTGGAAAGAATAGTGTAATGGTATGTGGGAATGACTTTGGGAGACAGGAGGAAGAGCTGCAGACTAGGCAACAGATAAGAGGCCACTGAGCCCACAGAAGAAATGGGAGTGTGACAAACATCTCAGAAGGGACCCTCCCTAGTTTCTTTGATGGTAGAAGGGAGGTGGGGAGAGATGTCCTTTCAGACTTGCAAGATTCTGCTAATGTAACCTTACAATAAAGTACTCCTAATAGTCCTGGGTGTGCTTCTTGTCTCACAAGGCTGACAAACAGATTGATAGATGCCACTACTTTTAGAGTTGCATTCTCCTCTTATTTCCCCTTATTTTGGCCTCAGGGAAAGAAATGGGTAGCTATATCCAGATCCCAGCCCCAAATTTTTCACCCTCTTTTAGGAGTTCATTTGAATACTGTAATGTGGAGAACAAAAAAAATCCAAAAAGGAATAGACTATAATGTGAACCTACTGGCATAATTGGAAACAACAAGATCCTAAAAGTTTCAGAGCTTGATTTTGATTTGCTTTTCTGTTTGTGAATACACAAAGTGATTGCCCAGATTAAAAACAATGAAACTTTACAAAAAATAATTAGAAGCAATAATCGTAAAACAAAGAGTTTCCAAACAACGCCAGATGAAAACCAAATCCAAAGCAGCAGGTTAAAAACAGCAGGTTGAAAATTCAGACATTTACTAACAGCTCAAAAGTGAAAAACAAAATGCTGGCTATATAATATGTTCCTTGGTATTGCTTTTAGGAAAAAAAAACTGGAGGGTGTGCTTGTTCTGCTGTTGATTTTATAATGCATGGAATCATGCTGTTCTGGTACTTTTAATAGAAAAGCAGGACATTATTGTTATTATTACATGCTGGGTCTTTATCATTATACTTTCATTCCCTAGACTGTATTTCTCTTTTACTTTTGAATATTAAGCAAAGCTTGTGATCTAAGTTTGTGACACTATAAACATACTAATCTGTAATCATATATTATATTTATTTATTATTAAATTATTAAAACCCAGAGATGGTTATTTATCATGGTATCATATGTACTAAAAAAATTAGCAGCGTAGGTAATGAAAAGTCAGTGCGTATTTATTGTTTCATGCAGCATTACCTAGGAATCATTTTATTGGAAAGACTGAATTGGAAATTTGTTTAGCTTTGAGAAGGAGAGAACAGAGATGATAGTGTTCTTCAAACACCTAGGATGTCACATTGAAAGTAGTCAAAATCTGCTGTCTTTTTTGAATGCAGGACATAAAATAATAAATTTAAGTTATGGGAAGATTTTGTTTTTGTTGCAGTTTCATGGTTTTTGAAGCTTTACTATTGTTTTGTAAGCCACCCAGGTTTATAGCATATAAGGTGGGCGGCCATATAGATCTAATACATACATACATACATACATACATACATACATTCCAATTGTGTCTTAGAGGAAAGATTCTAGCAGTACAAGCATTTTGACAGTGTAATCAATTATCCCAAGGTGGTGGACTCTCCTTTGCTGGTTGTGTTCAAACGGACCAAGACAGCCATCTGTCAGAGAAGCTTTAATTTGGATTCTTGAACTGAGCAAGAATAGGAGTCAGTGGCCTAAATAGCACTTTCCAACTCTATGATGTTATGATGCTATGCAGTTCGATGACATCTGCAGTCCATCTTTGTAGAATGAGTCTTTTGATGGCTGAGCTTTGCAGTAGTATGTTACTTGTACATTTCTAAAAAAAATAACTGTAACAGTAGATTATGTATACTACACAGCAAAACTGATAGGGAGAGCCCCTGAAACTAAATAACAAATTTCTAGGCAAAAGCCTTTTATAAAAAGCTATCTTCTCTATAGGATTGGAATCATTTTTTTTTTTAATGTGTCCATGTACATTTGTTTTCTGTGAATGGGAAACAAACCATTTTCTTTACATATTAAATATGGAGCAGTATGCTTGTAAAAAATGAGCTGACCATTTTAAAATCATGCTGTACCTGCTACTGATAGGTTTAAGACCATTGCCTTCTTACATGGGGACAAACAGCCAGGGAGGCCTCTTATGTTCCTTTATAGCTATGATTTGAGGGAGGACAGCAGTAAACTAACCTTTGAGTATTGGAGTTAATTCTCTACACTGTAATCTTAATCAGCTTCATGGGGAATAACAGCAACAACAACAACACCTGCCTATCCCAGGTCCCAGGACTCGATAGGTGGATAAAAATGCCAAATCCTGTCTAAACATCTGGCTGACTGTGTGACCAATGTTAGCAATCATTAACTGTTGGTTATATTCACATATAAAGTGCTGACATTTTTCTAGGAATGGTGCAAGAAAAGAAAAGGAAGTGGTGGAAAAGCTGCATGTTCCCGGCCAAGCTTGTCTTTTTTATAATGTTCTTCTTGGGAAGGACAGAGGCAGACCCTCACTGTAACCCTTGGCTCTCTTTTTTCCTCATCTTGATCACTACTATGAGTTACTCTTAATTAACAGTAACTCTGGAATTTCCTGGCTTGCAACTTTTAAAAACAAACAAATGATAGCAGTTGGTATGTAACTGCCCTCCCTTTAAAATATGTATACATTTTAGAAAAGTTGTTGTAGAACTAAAAAATGATAATAAAAGGAGAGCTTTTGGTAAGCAAATGCTCTGTTATACCACCATCCCAATGTGTGTGGACTTCTTCATCCTAGAATGCTAAAATAGCATCCATACCTTCAATGTTCTAGTAACCAAGACATCAGCTTGGAGATCAAGGAATGTCACGTTGCTTAGAAATCATCCAATTTTCCCATGCTTTTGATAATACTGATATATTGAAATGTTAATTTTGCTGAGAAAATGCTGCTTGGATTGCATTTGAGCTCTGAGTTTTACTTTGCTGCATCATGAGTACTGGGTCTTCTTTGGGAAGGAACCTATTTTCTGATGGTTTGCCTAAATGTCAGACTATTTGTGCATTGTTAGGCAATGACATACAAATAAGTGCCTAAAAGTTTCTCCAAAGAAAAAGCAATCTTAAGAGAAAGGAGAATTTTACATGCATTATAAATTTGGACTTGGCTATATCAAATGTTACTCATGGACTCTTGGCATGATGTCTATTTTCACTCAAGGCTGTTCACTCATTATTATTGTAATACAAATACATGCATATTTAAGTCATTCTGTGTTGGTGTTGGTGAAGGAAGCAAAGGAACCACTGTTACAAATGAATATAGTTGGAAAAAACTTTAGGAATAGTTTGCCTTGGTTCCTCTTATGGCTGGAAAAAAAAAAACCCTACTTAGTTGAAACTCTGAGCTTTGTTTAACTTTCTTTATATTGCTGTAGATCACTTTATTCGGCAGCACATATTTTCTCTTAGCAGGCAAGGGCAGACACTGCCAGATTAAGTGATTTAAGCAAAATGAAGAGCTGCTGAGAAATTTTCTTCTTCTTAGCCCCTGAGCCAAGCCAGACATCAAATAGCTTAGGCCTGGCTTAGGCATGAAGCAGTCTGTGAAGCATCCAGGATCCCACTACTGTATCATCAATTAATTGACGGGCTTTGCTTGAGGGAGATGCCTGTTAGCCTTATACTACTTGATTTTTTCTGTAGGCATAGTTAATTTCTTATCTCCCATGGGTTTAGCGTTAGAAGATATTGGATAAACTTTTTATATAGTTTTCCAGAATGTATTTATCATGCAATTTATTTGTGCATTTTGTCGTTATTGGGCTTTGTGTATACTTTCCAGCATTACATAGCAGGGGGATTTATAAGTTGCCCAGAGCCAGTTTGGACTTGGGCAGAAATCAAATCAAAGATAAATAAATAAATATACAGTCCAAACAGAATGTATAATAAACAAGTTATTTGAACAGTCCAACTGATGTTCATATTAATGAAAGAAGATTTACTCAGAGAATACATGGAGAATAGTTTGTTAACCAATCGACTGCTGCTTTGATAGCTTTAAATGTTTGCCTTGAGATTCTACTTCTGCAGAATTGCTAAGACATTATTACATTTCTCTTCATGGCAGGTAATGGAAATCAAAGGACAAATGATCCATGTCCCAGAATCAAACTGTATTTTGTTTTTGGGCTCACCATGTGTGGACAAGCTGGATGAACTGATGGGTCGAGGCCTCCACCTTTCAGACATACCAATTCACGATGCTACCCGTGACGTCATCCTTGTCGGGGAGCAGGCTAAAGCCCAGGATGGCTTGAAGAAGAGGATGGACAAGCTTAAAGCAACATTAGAACGAACACACCAAGCTCTAGAAGAGGAGAAGAAGAAAACAGTGGATCTTCTGATCTCAATCTTCCCAGAAGAAGTGGCTCAGCAGCTCTGGCAAGGGCAGCAAGTTCAAGCCAGGAAGTTTGATGATGTTACCATGCTCTTTTCAGACATTGTTGGCTTCACTGCTGTCTGTGCCCAGTGTACTCCCATGCAAGTGATCAGTATGCTCAATGAGCTTTACACCAGATTTGACCACCAGTGTGGATTCCTAGATATCTATAAGGTAACATCTTTCACCCCTCAAGTTCTATAGAAGTATGATATTGCTAACATAATAATTTTTCTTACTAACAGTGTTCTATTTTCTTACTAAAAGGTTGATCTAAGTAAATGAAAGTTATGTGGTTGTTGCTGGAGGGTCAACTATGGGGAAAAAATGAGCACTGGGGTGAGCTGGTCTAGAAATGTGATAGACTAGGAGGGAGGAATCACATTCTTTCAAGCAATCCTATTTTTCTTCTCGCCGATATAAAATCAACAAATTAGAAGTGGGCTGAGTTGGAACCGTTCTTCTTGATGTGCCACATTCAAAATTGGCAGTCCTTTCACTCCCAGACTGAACTGGCACATTATATTTTAGCATCTCAGATTTCTCCTACATCATTCAATTGCATTTAGCTTCAAAGCTGAAGAATAAAATTATATTAGGTGAATAACTGGTACAAATGTGCCCCTCCCTCCACTTTCAGAAATCAACTTTGGGACCACTGTGTGTAAAAAGCAAAATCACATTAATTGGCCGATAGTCTACTTATGTATCTAAATTCTAGAACATTCTAAGAAAACACATGTCTGGTGCATGGTTTATCAACACACAGAAATGTCCAGTCTTCTTATTTCTTAGCTTTTGCTCTGGGGTTGATTGCTGATTTTGCTTAGCTGTTTATCAGAGAAGTATTGAATGATCTGTTGCTATCAAATGAGGTCTAGGTATCAGGTTTTCACCAAATAGTTGCTAGCCTTATTGACTGTGATGTCTTTCAGGCCCATAATGAACATTTGTGTGGGCTTTGTTTGGCTTTTCTTTGGGGTGCACAGTGATAGGGCAATGGCAAGGAGTTTCCTTCTGTGTCGATTTGTATGTTTCCATTGTCCTCAGACTTGATTCTCAAACTGAACATTTATGAATACGAGATGAACAGATCTCTTTGATAGTTTTAAATTCCAAAGGGTGGATGTTAAGAAAAGTATTAGGACAGTTTTTTTAGAATCTGTTTTCCTCTTTGGAAGAAACTGCACCAGAGATTCACAGAATCTTTTGGTAATAAGTTACCATATATGATGAGCAGATCATAATGTAGTTTAGAAGCAAGTGCGTAAGCACTGCTAATTTCACAATTATATCAGCTCAGCCGTCTTAGATATTTACGTAATTCCCAGCACAAGAAAATTAAATCGTTTTCTCCTTGCATTCTTCCTTTCTGCAAAAGAGCATTGTTAAAAACGTCCAGTCAGATCAGGCAGGTGTTTTGTAGCCTCTCAGATGATACTCCCTCCCCCTGTTCATATATTGTTTTTCACAGCTAGGGGCATCTGATTTCCTACTATAAATTATTATCCATCAACCTCCCAGTAAGTTCTAGTAAGAGGCAAGAAAACGCCCTTTACTAGGCATGATAAAAAAAAAAAATCTGATTAAATGGAAAAAGATGAGTCTGGCCATCCTTTACTATTCAAAAAGTGTACCAGGTCCTTCCATTGTCCAGCCCAATGAGAATATTTAAGTAGTGACAGTGACGATTTTCTGTGCTCTTAAAAAGGCAGTAAACCTTTTTCTTTCCAGCCTCAAAGACCACAAATTGAGCAACCACACTTAAAAAAAAAAAAATCAAACCCACATCTGTGCTCTGTGCAGAAGCTTAATTACATTCTGTTACATCTATGCTGTATGGTGTTTTGATTTCCCACAGCTGTAATTGACCCTCACTAATCCATATTCATCCAAGGAATTTCTTGAAAAAAGGACAAAGTTTTATGGTGTAATGACTGCGAACAGGGGAGTACCCTCTTCTTTGCATTTTTCTCTTTTTAAGGGATGGCTATATTTATTGACCCTAGCTAGACTAAACTGTTTGAAATATTCACTTACTCTATACATTGCTGTTTCTGGTCTCGCACACAGAACTATGCCATTCTCCTTCAGGTTCAGTTTCTTCCATTAGAATGTGCTTCATGTATAAACCTTAGAGCAAGGGAATACTTAAATAATCTTTCCTCACATGGTTCTGTTCAGATGTCTTTTACTGCAAGAACTCACTTGTAGATGCTGGAGAATGTTATAAAATTATTGCTTTCTCCGTGTTGTTACCTGAATTTCTGAATACTGGCCTGAGACGAATTTCCCATTCAGAATAGACTGTATGCAAGTAAAACTGTATGCAAGTAGAGATAGGATCATCATAAAGCCCATAAGGTTAAGGAATAAGTTCAATTAAAATTGAACTACAGATTTTCAGAGCAATATGTGCACCGATTATCTAAGTCTACAATAAAACCAAGATACTTTTCAGTTGTGCCACAGCAGAGAAATGTTTTTGTACACTGTGTTAAGAAAATGTGAGTCACTGAAAAAATAAGGCTAAGCTGTCATGCATGTATGTATGTGTGCCTAAGAGACATCTATATACTACTAAAACTCTTGTGTCTGTAACCTTCAACTGGGCGAAACGTCGTATCATAGGGCAACAATTTTTGAACCAAGGTACCTCAAATGGGCTAACTTACAGAATGCATCCAAAATCCGGGTCCCATAACTCCTGTGGGATTGAAATTTGGGAAAATTGTGGCTGCTTCAGCACTGCTGTACTGCTATGCCGCCACAGTCAGCCCAGGTCATGTGATCATCATGGGTGTATCCCCAACCTCTTTCCTGCTTCCCTCTGTCCCCTGTGCCCAATTGGCTAGTGGCAAGGCCCAACAGGTGAGCGGCAGTTGCCTGCTTTGGAAACGAGGCAGAAATTTTAAATCTCTTAATGGTGGTGGGCATTGAGGGAAGGATGAGGAAGTGATTTGGATGCCTGCTGGCAAGCTAGGACTGGCTGGGAGGTGCTGGTGGTCGACTGGTGAGCCCTCTTCCTTTCTCAAGGGAGGGGGCTCTCAGGGACATGCCAGAATGGGGAGCAGGGATGCAGTTTTCCTTGCGGTCTGCAGCTCCCTTTGTTCCACCTCCCCTCATCAGGCAGTTCCACAGGTCAGCTGAGGAGGAGGAGAAAGGGGCTTCACTGGGGCTGTCCTAAGGGTCATGAGGGGAGGGCAAACAGCACAAGCCTATATTATATATAGGAAGGAAGGAAGGAAGGAAGATTTGATCCTCCCTGCCGGCTTCCCACAAGGAAAGTCAATGGGGAAGCCGGCAGCAAGTCATAAGTTGCTCACACTCCTACTGCTTTTTTGCCCTTGGTCATTCTGTTTCTCTATTTAGCTAAGGAAATATCTCTGAAACGATGACCCAATGGGTCACGGGGCTGTTTAGTAAAAAATGAAAGCCTGAAAAGTTTAAAGAAGCAGACATGCTCAAATTCTGGTTTGTAGGTCTTAAAGCGGTAGCTGGCATGGAGGTGGCTTGCTTTTAGTTTCCTGCTGTTAAATTACACTTTAAAAGGCATCTAAAAATATACTTCTCTGATGCTACTTTTCTATGCAAATAATTCGTGTAGTTGCTATAGAGATATTAGATGATCACAAAGGAGACAGCTCTTGTGATACCAAAGAGGAGGAGAGATTGTGTGTCTTAATACACTTTTTTTTAAAAAAAACAAACAAACCAAAACCTCCCTCATATTAGTGTGCATATACTCACGCAGAGTGTTGTATACTTAAAATGCCATTGCCAAAGGACTTTGCAAATTACAATCCTAGTTCCACCAAGCAATTTTGGGACATTATACTAATTTGCCCAAGAACAAAGCTGAAATGGCTCTCATTTATTTTAACTAATGTTTTAGAAGTGAGAACAAGTCCTTTGGGTAGTTTTTCCAACATTTTGAAAATAACAATCCATATTTCTTTATAATATTTGAAATTGCACCCTTGGAGATAGTCTTGTACAACCACTGAAAGTTGTATTATCTTGTGTGCTGCTTATAAACTGGGTTAGCTCATATATGAAGCTAGATGGGAGAAGGAAGAAGCAGTAGTAATGAGCCAGGAGAGATATAGTGCAGAGAAGATACAAAGCCAAGGAAAGGAGGTTACCAAAGACGATTGTAAAAGGTGCATATTTGCCAACACATTTTTCAGAATAAATTCTACCCCATCAAAAAATATACATTATTACTGAAATCTAAAGACTCAGCTGCAGAGAAACAGGTTCAAAACCTCGCTCAGTCATGAAATCCACAGACTGATTCTGCTACTGATCTTTCAGCTCACCACAGAATTGTTTTGACAGCATATCATTTCTAGGCAGAGCAGCCTAAGAAACTTAGAGAAAGGGAAGTATACAAACCTTGTTAATAGACAGATTTGATAGTACTTTACATTACCTTATTTTATTTTCAGACTCTGATTTCAACAATGGTGTGACTAGCAGAAACATAACTGATACAACAGCCATGGAACTGCAATAATAAAAATGCTTTGTTTGTTGACAGCTTGCTTATCAGAGTAACACCAATATAATTTGCTATGGGGAAAAACTGGGAACATTTACCCTATTCTTTGTGATGTTTTAAAAGGATACCATGCATTAACAGTGATCTTTATTAACAATATTTTATAAAAGTTACTTGTATATACTCTGGGAAGTTTAAAGAAAAAACAACAACGTAAAACCAAAACATTCCCCAAATCGTATATAGGTATTTTATTTTCTATGATGTATGCTGTATTTGTATCCTGTTGCAAGTCTCACAACTGTGACAGTATAAAATGTTAAATAAATAATAACACCCACCCTCTCAAATCATCATTAAACTGAACCCTGCAACGGCTGCCCAATCACCACTGAATTAGTGATTTAATGTCCACTGAAATATAAGTGTCTTCAGCAGTTTTCAGAATGCGAGGAGATGGGGGGTCAGGCGCATCTCTGGGGGCATAATGTTGGGGCACCACCGAGTGTTGGAACATTTCTGTGGGCAATTTCCAGTTGTAGTTTCTCATCCAGCACACTCCCATTCATTTCTTGTTTCCCAGCCAGAGCAGTTTAAAGCAAGCACACACGCCAGTGAGTGCGGCTAGCAGAAATAGCTTGGTGTTTATTGTTAAAGATCAGCAAAACAT